TCCGCGAGGCAGCGGGCTGCGGCGCCCGTCGTGCCGCGCCGCAGTGGCGCCTCGGAGCGCATCCACGGAGCCGCCCCTAAAGCCTCCGGCGTCTTTAGCGCCGTACCTGCTTTTTCACGACGCTGCTGCAACGATTTTTTTTTGCTTAACTGTCGTGCACGATAAAACCAGTGTGTAGAGGAGCTGTTTTCCTTCTTTATGCATTTTTAGTAGCGTAACTGCTTGTTTCTTATGGGCAATACGATCTTTTTACTGTAGTAAGCTAACACTTCATATTTTGGTGGCGTTCACCTTAAAACGAGTGGTGCACCAAATGTTGCTGTAATTGAGCATATCGATGAAGGATTTATTTAGTTACACTGTGCAAGCACAGAAATAATCTGCCATTAAAACAACAGCAGTGGCGTGTTGCTGAATGCAATGTTGTACGCAAATCCTTGGGGCTGACATTGGAGAAAGCTTGCTAGGGTTTTCTTGGTCTTAGTCCATCCTCCCCAAAGATGGAGTCCGCCTCCCATCTCCCCCCTAAAGCTTTGGAAAATATGGCAGCAATGATTAATTTGGCCCTTATTCTGAGGCTTGGGTATCCTGGGTATTAAATATGAGTTTTCTTCTAAGTTAAACATTTGGTGTTCTTACTCTAACAAGTATTGTGTGTTTTTTGTGCTTGTGGGGGAATGCTTTAGGTTAAATGCTCTGTTTGCTAGTTAAACACCTGTAATATGAATACTTGATTTGTCTTTCTAGGTTTTGTTTTTCCCCACCCCGTCAATTTAATTTTATTCTTTTGAAGATTCTTCGTTGTCAAGCCGCCAAAGTGGAGAGTGCGATTGCAGAAGGGGGTGCTTCTCGTTTCAGGTACCAGTGCTTTCTTGGTTTGACTCTCATTTGATAGTGGAAACTCAATTGAGAAGTTTTTTTCTTTTTACCTAACAATAAGAGTAATTAGACCAGTAATCTTACGCAAAAATCACTGATTGTTTTAACAGTGCTTCTTCGGGCGGAGGAGGTGGTAGGGGTGCGCCTCAGCACTATCCCAAGACTGCCAGCAACAGGTATTTTGATCTTTTGTTAAAAATACTTTTAAGGTAGAGACTGCATCATAGTGAATGCAGAATTCAAGATATGGTAACTTTATTATATGTATACAACAAAATGCTTCCTGGGTTGGTGATAAGGATGGTGAATTAACCTTATCATTCAGGCTGTCTGAATCCGTTTGAGTCATGGTATCAAACGGGCAGGGTTTTTGATTCATGCTCCCCCTCCTCTCCCCGGCTTTAGAGAGGATTTCAATGTTTGCCTGTGTGATAGCCTTTTTTCCCTTCTACCTCTTCAGTGAATTTTATGTAGTTATTGTTTCATTGTTAGGGCAGACTGAGTGTGATGTTATCAAAAGTAGCAATGGAATTAGTGTAACACAGTACTGAAAGGTGAAAAATGACAGTTCTTGAAGTAGCTTGGTGGTTTAAACAAGCTTTTCAAAACTCTGCAGCGAGTTCCTGGGGAAAACCCCAGGGCAAAACGCTCAGAAATGGATTCCTTCACGAAGCACTAGACGAGATGACGACTCCGCAAATGACAAAGAACGACATGATGCAATCTTCAGGAAAGTAAGAGGGTAAGTTCTTTGAGGATCCATTTCCTTTATGAATATGAAAGGAAAACATGAAGTGGATTCCTTTCTTTCCAGTGAGTTGAAATAAGATGGAAACCGATGGGCCTGCAGTGGCAAACACTTGCTGTGCACCTTTAGTTGTGTGATATTTGTGTTTGTTTCTTTTTTTCTTTTTTTTTTTTGAGGGTATTAGTTTTCTGCATGGTAGCACTTTAAAACAAAATACAACCTTTATATTTAGCTAAAGAATAAGAGGTCTTAACTAAAAATACCTGTAGCGTGTTTGCAAGATCTGTAATGTGCTGTTTATTTCCTTTCTGTTTATTTAGCATACTAAATAAGCTTACTCCTGAAAAGTTTGACAAGCTATGCCTTGAGCTCCTCAATGTGGGTGTAGAGTCTAAGCTCATCCTAAAAGGGGTCATACTGCTGGTAAGATGGCTCTGTGTGTGTTTTGGGGGGTGTGTGTGTGTGGATTTTTCTTTCTCCTTTATCATAGCTGTCTTCTATGTTTAGAGGTTGGCTATTTTTGATTTGGGCACAGAAGACAAGTAGCTCATTCAGTGTTTTTGATCTAAATAAGTAGAGAAGTATCAGTACCTTTTATTGCGTAAGTGGAATATATGGGAGGGGAGAGACACTTTCAAATTAATGAACATGACAAGATTTTTTTTTTCTTTTCCTTGAAACACTTTTTATTTTTTCTTCTCTTCTCATGTTCCACTTTCTGTTCATTGGAACTCCTTAAAAAGCAACCACTGACCTCTTTGTATACAGGTTATAATAATTGTATTTTTTTCTTTCTTGAGGTCAGCTTGGTCTGGTTATTTGGTCTGATTATCAGTATTGGTCTAATGCTATGGTAGGCAACTTAAACTGCCTTTTTTATTGATTAAAGATCATAGCTCTTTAGTAAGCCAGAGAAGCTTTTTATCTTGTCTCATGCAGCATATTAAGAATTTTGACTTGTACATTACTTCTGAAAATCTATTATATCTATATTGAAATAATAGAATAGCAAAAAAAAAAATGGAATGTTTGTATAGAATGGTATTTTTCACTATGTTAATGAAACGATCTTTACTTAGATCGTAGACAAAGCCCTTGAAGAGCCCAAGTATAGCTCATTGTATGCTCAACTATGTCTGCGACTGGCAGAAGATGCACCCAACTTTGATGGCCCATCAGCAGAGAGTCATCCAGGACAGAAGCAAAGCACAGTAAGCATTTTACTTTCTCAGCCTGAAACAATTCTGTTAGCATGGATAGTTGTACTGATTTACTGCTTTTATTTTTATGTTTTGTTCAGACATTCAGACGCCTCTTAATATCTAAACTTCAAGATGAATTTGAAAACAGAACCAGAAATGTTGATAGTAAGTTTTAAAACAACTTCAATGTAGAACCTGCTTTTCCTGTTTTCACAGCCATGTTTAACAGGCTCTTTGTTTTTTCAGTCTATGATAAGCATGATGGTCCCCTCCTCCCTGAGGAGGAGGAACAGAGAGCCATTGCCAAGATTAAGATGCTGGGGAACATCAAATTCATTGGAGAACTTGGCAAGCTTGATCTTATTCATGAATCTATCCTTCATAAGTGCATCAAAACAGTAAGTGTTAAGATTTTTTCTGAAAGGCGGGGGGGAGGAACTTGAAACTAAAAATTTTAAATAATACACTACGTTTGGAATCTTGAAGCACCTTGTTAAATGTTTGTCAATTATTTTTTAAAAAAATGCTTAAAATTAACAATCTTTTGGTCTGATAAAATACTATTTGAAGCCATGGGACTTGTCTCCAAGTGAAGATGTAGTTTGGTCTAGGCGAAAATACTACAAGTACTTAAAGTACAATAGACTTGAAAATTAAGCTCTATAAATTTAACTGTTTAGTGAAGACAGCAGACTTTCATGATAATCTTACTGAAATGTGTTTCTATAGAACTAATCTTTAGGTACAAAACTCATCTATAATAAACTTGTAATATTATGTTAAAGTACCTGATTACTACTTAATATTCCAGCTTTTGGAAAAGAAGAAGAGAGTCCAGCTCAAAGATATGGGGGAGGATTTGGAGTGCCTCTGTCAGATAATGAGGACAGTGGGACCTAGATTAGACCATGCAAAAGCCAAGGTATGTTCATATCTGATACAATTACCTCAACTAGTTCAAATCTGTTTAGTTCTCTGTACATTTTGTGTTCTGTTCCTAAGTTTCAAATCTGACTTTTTGAGAGCTAGAAGGGGCCAACTACTATCAAGTTGCCCCATAGCACAAAGGATCAGTGTGGGAGATACCTTTAAAGTTTTGTTGTTGTTTTTTGTTTTTTGAAAGGCAGATTGCTTTTACTAGGCAATGATAAAAGCAAGATGGGCTGTGTTCTAAATGCTACTTGGTGGAACATGTTGAAAAACTACCTGTTGTAGAGCATTAGGTGGTATGGCAGATGCATTTTGTGCTCTGGCTTGTGAGCTTTGAATTTAAACATTTGTGACGCTTTTGTGGTAGTAGGTGAAGTCAACTGCACTTCTGACTGAGATAAGGAAAGCAAACTGAGGAACCTACCCTGGGCTGCTGTCTGCCAGATGGGAGATGGCAGGAGAGGGCAGTCTGTTCATTATACAGTTTTGAATGTTTTGGATGTGGCAGTCTCTTCAGGTGCTACTCCTGATATTGCGAGGTTCTCATTTGTAATTTTTCTTTCCCCTCTCACAGTCCTTAATGGATCAGTACTTTGCCCGTATGCGCTCCTTGATGTCAAGTAAGGAATTGCCAGCAAGGATTCGTTTCCTGCTGCAGGTATGGAGATAAAATTTTCAGCTCCTTTCTTTTCCTGTGAGTTTGCCTTGAATCCTTTCGTAATTATTCTTCCTTCTTTAAGGATACTGTGGAGTTGAGAGAACACAACTGGGTTCCTCGCAAAGCTTTTCTTGACAATGGACCAAAGACTATCAATCAAATCCGTCAAGATGCAGTAAAAGTAAGGCGTTTTTTTGAGGGGATGGGGGATGCGGGGGCAAGGGTTGTTTTGTAAACATGGAGCTTTGCTTCTGCTTAAGCCTTGACCTGAATCCTTGGTCTAGTGATTCCATGTCACAGTCTGTTCTCTGAACACATAATTATTTCTACATGTAACTGGTTCTGTTCTTGTGGTAGTGTGTAAATTGAGCTGCATTAAAAGTAGTTAAGAATTAATATCCCTGGACTTAAAATTTAGGACACAATCCAAGCATCGGTACTTCAGGACCTATTACTTGGAATTCACTAAAACTGTTAATTCCTGTTTTAAAGGATCTGGGAGTCTTTATTCCTGCTCCTATGTCTCAAGGGATGAGAAGCGACTTCTTTCTGGAGGGACCGTTTATGCCACCCAGGATGAAACTTGACAGGGACCCACTTGGAGGGCTTGCTGATATGTTTGGACAAATGCCAGGTACATTGAACCTACCAGGCTGATGTGATGCCCATAGCTGTATTGTGTGGAACACCCCAAGAACTAAAACTGCTTTTTGTTGCCTTAATATAGGTAGCGGAATTGGTACTGGTCCAGGGGTTATTCAGGATAGATTTTCACCCACCATGGGACGCCATCGTTCAAATCAACTTTTCAATGGCCATGGGGGTCACCTCATGCCTTCTGCTCAATCCCAGTTTGGAGACCTAGGCAAATCTTTTCTGAAAAGTCAGGTAAGGACAATGTCAACAGAGTGACTCTCAGGTACATAGAAGCTCTTCTACAGATGCGTATGTTATGGATTGTAGTCTACTGGTGTTAAAAAGACTTCCTCAAAAACACTTCCTTTCTGGTTCTGATAAGAACTGATGCTCAGCTGATTAAAAAAAAAATCCTAAAAATTCTTAAATTTTGCAAGGAAGACTTTATTATTATTCTTTTTCTTTTTACTGCAAGAAAAGGTGCATGTGGCTTTGGTGGGTCAGAATGGTGTGTTTTGTTTAAAAGGTAGCCCTGTTTTAGGGATAGATGCTACTTTCCCACCACCCCTGCTCCTTCTTTCTCCCTTCCTGGCAAATAGAATCTTTGTTCCTCTGGTCCCTCTGGTACTACTTACCATATGATGTACGCCACTCCATCATCTGCACTTCTTTCTCTATATCTCCCTTTCTGAAATAGGGGCAAAGCCAGCTCTACCATAACCAGAATCAGGGACTCTTATCCCAGCAACAAGGACAGTCGAAGGATATGCCACCTCGGTTTTCTAAGAAAGGACAGCTTAATGCAGATGAGGTACATTACATGCCTACATTACTTAAAGCCTATTCTCAATATTGCCCAATGATTATAGCAAGACGCGTTATTATGAGGACTAATGCTGGAACTCTTTCTCCTCCTCCTACTTCTCCTTCTTTGTCCCTTCCTCTTTCACCTTCTCTTTTCCCTTTCCTTAGGGTATCCAGCGTCCTGTGAGCAAGACTGAGATATGAGGGCAATTTCTTGGGGTATCCCCCTTCCCGCCCCCCCCACACACCTCCCCAAGAACACTACTCTGACATCAGTTCCCATGCATCGTATTGATAACAATACATTTAACTGAAGCTTCAGAGATCTTAAATTTTAGAAGCCTGAAGTGCTGGACCAGGTTCAAAAACTTTTTTTCTTCCCCTTCCCCCTCCTCCCCTCCCAAACTAGCACAAAGACACAATTTCAGGTGCAGAGTAAACCTCACTGTTTTGAGTGGGTGTTAGCGAACTTGTATCCTAATTTCTGAGCAGTGTTGGTGAACTTGTATCCTTATTTCTGAGCGATTGGTAGAGCTTTATCTTAGCAATAAAACTTGTCACCAAGCACATGCTACGTATCTTCTTGGGTCTCTAACATACTGCATCTAAAATGAGCAGTTCTGCATTTTGATGTAGATAGAACTAAGAATAACTCGGAGCAAACAGCAATTCATTGCGTTATGCTTTTAGGGGGTATTTTAGTACATCTATGTTTTAGCCTGGATTTGACTGTAAACACTATAGAATCTGAAAATGCATGTTTTAGTAGGATTTGTTGGTGTGAATCTGTGGCTGTGTAATGTTTGCCAGAGTAATTAAAAACAGTTTGAGGTTTTTTTGACTCTTTGTTCACAGATTAGCCTGAGACCTGCTCAGTCTTTTCTAATGAATAAAAACCAAATGCCAAAGCTTCAGCCCCAGATAACTATGATTCCTCCCAGTGCACAACCACCACGCACTCAGACACCACCTTTGGGACAGGTAAATTACAATATACATACATTATTACATTATTGACTATGCTTAATTCTTGCACGTGGACAAAATTTGGTCTCATATCTAGCACAGGATGGGGGATGTATCTTGCAAAGCATAAAATATATGAAAAGCCATGAGAGTGTATGTATAAAGGCAGCTTAGTCTAAATTTCTCCAAGAAACTTAAAGAACTCTCTCTTTCAGCCTCCTCAACTTGGACTCAAAACAAATCCACCACTTATTCAAGAAAAGCCTGCAAAGACCACCAAAAAACCGCCTCCTTCTAAAGAGGAGCTGCTTAAACAAACTGTAAGTTACTGCCATGTGTCTAGAAGCTTTGTGTACTTTTGGAAAACAGATATTTCAATTTTAGGTCTTTTTTCCTCTTTCCAGGAAGCTGTTGTGACCGAGTATTTGAACAATGGAAATGCAAATGATGCTGTCAATACTGTGAGAGAAATGAGAGCTCCAAAACATTTCATTCCTGAGATGTTGAGCAAAGTAATCATTCAGTCCCTAGACCGATCAGACGAAGACAAAGAAAAAGCTAGTACTCTGATCAGCCTGCTCAAACAGGAAGGAATAGCCACAAGTGACAATTTCATGCAGGTACTACATTCAGCTGGCATTGCATGAAAGTCTTTGTTTCTTTGCTGTCCGTAATATTTCCTCTAAATAAATTTAGCCCTACTTGAAACATTTGCAAAAATGTGAACTCAGAACTTCACAAGTCCTGTAGATCTAAGGAGATAGAAGCAGCATAATAAGACTGTGAGGTGCATAACAAGTGATCAGGGAAGAACTGTTTAGCTTGGGATTTCAGAAACTATTGACAAATGATTGATCAAAAAAAGCACTGTCCAAACACGCATAGTGAGAGTATCACTAAACACAAGGGAAGTGCTTGTGTATTCTAATCTGATGCATTTACTGTTTTTCAGGCATTCCAAAATGTATTGGACCAGTGCCCCAAACTGGAGGTGGACGTCCCATTGGTGAAATCCTATTTAGCACAGTTTGCAGCCCGTGCTATTATTTCAGAACTGGTGAGCATTTCCGAACTGGCTCAACCACTGGAAAGTGGCACCCATTTCCCTCTCTTCCTGCTTTGCCTTCAACAGTTAGCTAAGTTACAAGATCGTGAATGGCTAACAGAATTGTTCCAACAAAGCAAAGTGAATATGCAGAAAATGTTACCAGGTAAGAGTTACTGCATGGCTTTCTATGACAACTCAATTTTTTTTTGTGCATGCAGTTGAGAGTTTTGCAGTCAACTCTTAAGAATATTTAATGGTGATAGGGTTTAAGTACTGGTGAAGACGTAGGCTGCTGATTGTAGGTTCCAGTTAACACTGATGCTTGAGCATGTGTGACTTGAATTTTTACTACAGAAATTGACCAGAACAAGGACCGCATGCTGGAGATCTTAGAAGGGAAGGGACTTAGCTTCTTATTCCCGCTTCTGAAACTGGAGAAGGAACTGCTAAAGCAAATAAAATTGGATCCATCCCCTCAAGCCATCTATAAGTGGATTAAAGATAACATTTCACCCAAACTTCATGTAGATAAAGGATTTGTGAATATATTGATGACCAGGTAAGAAAGTTGGTCTGATTCAGGCACAAATTACTTAAACTACAATATAACAAATATCTCTTTTTAAAGGCTGAAATAGAGCTTTGCATGGAGCAAAAATGTATGGACTTAAACTGGGATGAAACATGTAGGCGGGTAACAGCCTAGGATTGTGGCTGTTAATAGGGAGGAGCAAGTCTCTCAGCTTTGCTCAAGAAGATTTTTTTAAGAAATAAATTAACTGAGGGAACATTTTTCTTAACCTATTTTGGGTTTTTAATGGGATGTGAAATATTAAATGTTATACAAGATTTTTACCCTTTCTTCTCCCCCACACCCTCCAGTTTTTTGCAGTATATTTCTAGTGAAGTAAACCCACCTAGTGATGAAACAGATTCTTCATCTGCTCCTTCTAAAGAGCAGCTGGAGCAGGAAAAACAACTGCTTCTGTCCTTCAAGCCGGTAATGCAGAAGTTCCTCCATGACCATGTTGATCTGCAAGTGAGTGCTTTATATGCACTTCAGGTGCACTGCTACAACAACAACTTCCCAAAAGGTGAGCACTTAGTTTCAGTGGGGTATGGGAAGGTGGGGGAGGTTGACTCTGAAGCACAGTACTAAAGATATGAGATACAGTGGTGCTTTGGCATGTTTAGAAGACGCAATATATTGGCTAAAGCATCTGTGATGTAGTTTGCTTTCCTAAAGCTGGTGTGATGTTGAAATTGAACTCTTCCATAGGCATGTTACTACGCTTCTTTGTTCATTTCTATGACATGGAGATCATTGAAGAAGAAGCCTTTTTGGCATGGAAAGAAGATATTACTCAAGAGTTTCCAGGGAAAGGCAAAGCTTTATTCCAGGTAAGTGTGCTTGCTTCAGATTTCTACTCAAAGGTATCTAGTCCTCAGAAACATCAGTGCAGCAGAGATCACCCTTCAGAATGTTCTGTAAAGACTTACGGTTGAACTTGATCTAGGAGGGTTTTTTTTCCCCACCTTAATGATTCTGTAGCTTGTAAATAAAACTATACTGAGTATTTTGTCAGGAAGGAGCAAGGCAAGTTGTTTCTTTCGTGTTGCAGGTCATTGCTAGAGAGTGTATATATAATATAAGCTATGGTGTTGATAATATGAAGTATGAAATAATTTTAAACTGAGCTTAAACTAGTGTTATGTAACTGCAGGTAAACCAATGGCTAACCTGGCTGGAAACTGCTGAAGAAGAAGAATCTGAAGAAGAAGCTGACTAAAGAACCAGCCAAAGCCTTAAATTGTGCAAACATACTGTTGCTATGATGTAACTGCATTTGACCTAACCACTGCGAAAATTCATTCCGCTGTAATGTTTCACAATATTTAAAGCAGACGTTTGTCAGTAGGATATCCTCTGCAAAAGGTTTTTGTAGTATGTCTTAATAGTCTACAATAAAAATATTCTAGAGTATCTTTAATGTTTAGGTAACAGTGTATTAGCAGCATGCAATAATTACATCATAAGTTCTCAAGCAGGAGCAGTCTATTGCAAGGGTCGTCTTTGCTGCCAGTTATCATAGGCTGTTTTTAAGTTAGAAAACTGAATAGCAACACTGAATACTGTAGAAATGCACTTTGCTCAGTGTAATACTTGAGTTGTTGCAATATTTGATTATCCATTTGGTTGTTACAGAGAATCCTTAACTGTAATCGATGGTTGTTGCCGTAATAGTATATTGCCTGTATTTCTACCTCTAGTAATGGGCTTTATGTGCTAGGTTTTAATATCTTTGAGCCTGGGCAAGTGCACAAGTCTTTTTTTAAAAAAAAAAAAAAAGAAAGAAACATTTAATTGCACAAAAATTGATCAGCTTGGAAAGATGGTTTAATGCCCTTTGGAAGAGGTTTTCGTGGGTGTGAAACATGAAATGTTGAGAAATTTGAATTGGTCCCTTTATAATAGTATTGAAATTAAGTCTACTTTAATTTATCAAGACATGTTCATGCCCTGATTTTATATACTTGTATCTTATCAATAAACATTGTGATACTTGACTTGTTTCTGAATGTCTCCCAGTAAGAAGTGTTAACAACTAGTCTGCTTGCTGAAAGAGGTATCAGCAGGAGTTGACTTAGACTGGGACCAGTTTAAGATTGTTCTTGTATCAAATCTATCCAGCATGCAAATAAACCCTAAACAGGGTTATAGGCAAGATTAGAGATGGCAGGTGGGAAGAAAACTTGTTGAGCAATTCTGTTGGAGAAATAGCAGGAAGGAGGTTGTATGGGCTGGTGCACTTTGTGTGTGTTTGTTTTTTGTGTGTGTGGTTTTTTTTGTTGCTGTTTTTTTTTTGTTGTTTTTTAGTAAAGTTGCTTTCTAAGGTTTTAAACTTTCCTCAGGTTACAGGTGTGCTTCTAATCTGGCACTGACCATTAGCTGCCTGTTCCTCAAAAAATCAATTTGGCAAAAGTTTGACAGTATAATAGAGTTGCATTGTATGGCCTTTAAACATCCATCTAGTAAATACCTTGCTTGAGCCTTGTCCTTCACCAAATGAAACATCCATCTAGTAAATACCTTACTTGCTTGAGCCTTGTCCTTCACCAAATGCTTTTTGTTCCTCTGTCCTCTTTTCTTATGTTAATTGAGAGGAAATGTGTGTTAACAGTAAAATAATTTCTGTACTGAAACTCTCTGTCCAGAAACTGGAAATAGCCTCTCTTTCAGACTAAGAGAAAGCTCTTGATCAGGGAAGGGCTTGCTTTAAGGGAGGGATAGTTTGCACTTCAGTGTGTTAAAGTGCTGTGGATGGGGGGGCTGGGAGTCTGGTCTCTACCACTGTTAACTCAGTGTGAAAAGAGATTTCCCAGGTTGCCCCTAGAAGGTGAGAGGACTCCATACCTGTATGGTGGATTTGTTTGTGAGTCTTCATGAAGACACTGTCTTTGGCCAGTTCCTGAGATGTAATGTTCTGTATCTCTGCAAGCTCTAGCCCAATAAATGTTATTGTGGTGCTGTTACCAAGTAATTTCAGAAATTATGTCCTCTTCCTAGATTACTAACTGGTTCTTGAAGAGCTACACTAAGTTATGTGCTAGTCTGTTTTTGTGTCATCTGTATGCTAGGATGTAATGCTGATACAGTAGCAATTCTTACCTAATAGTGAAGCTCAGAGGGATAATGGGAGGCCTCAGGAAATTTTCTAGTGAAAGAGCCTTTCCTCCTTCCCTCTCCAGTCCCTGACTGTCTGTGCTGCCTCTCTTAACTGTCAAGGAATGCAGTTGATAGATACATCCTCCATAAGCAGCATCTGGAGCAGTTCAGTCTTGTCCTGATCTTAATTCTCAAAATAAGATTTCCTAAGTCAATGACTTTGCTATTTGCTAAGGTTCATCAAATACTATATTTACCTTTAGAAAGTAAATAATGCTCCAGCTACTTGCAATTTCTGCTGCTCTCAATTTTTGTGAGGAGTGAATAGTAAGATTTACTGTTGCAAGACTTAGCATTAATTTTTATATCAGAGTCGTATTTCATAAGCTGTGTTAGGTTTTTGCTTTGGATGTGTTCAGGGGTATGTTATAATAAAGTGCTGTGCTCCACCTTCAGGTGGAGACTGTTGAGGAGCATTGCACATCCAATGTCAAGTGCTGCAAAAGCTAATCAGAGGGAAGATCAATTAATGAGAGTATTAATTAAAGGGTACAGTAGAGGTGAAAGTAGAAGACATTCTTAGAATAAGATGCACAAGAGGAAAAACATTGTTACCCAAACTTCAAAGTTACTATTGGAGAACAGGCCCAGAACCTGCCCCTGACTTCTGTCTGGGCTTTTTGGAGAAGCCTGGCTTCTGCATGCTTAGCTCCCATCCCCAGGAGCTCTGAAGGATGGGATGAAACTTGTGTCCTTGCCCAGTCTTAGCTGTAATTACTAGAAGCTTGTATAACCAGCTGTGTGTATGGAGGCTTTGCTTTTTGGCTTGCTTGTAACTGACCCTGAATTTAGAACAGATAACGTACACTTAAGTCAGCAAAAGTAGAATACTTCAAACAAGGCACCACATATACCTAAATTCTTACATCTGTGTGTGAAAATGTGGAATAGGGAATATGTAGTAGAATGCTCCACTGAATTGTGAAGCTGCTCTTCATCATGAGGTACTTGTATGAGAGATTGGTCTCTTGAAACTGACATAATGACTCTGAAAACAATAAAAGAGTTGTGTACACTGGAAAAGCTAAGGAAGAAGAGCTCTTTGATCTGTTGTGTTGTAACTTGTTACATATTCAGCAGTCTCCTTTGCTAATCAGTAGTTTCTGGTCAGTGAAACCAACCAGTAAAAGGGGATAAGGATTGCTCTTAACTTTGTGTGACTTTTAATTACCCATTGTGTTATGTTTTTAACTGTCAGTAGCACCATTTTAAATAGAGTAAAATTGTTATCCTAATTCAAGCAGTGTAAATCTGATGAATGATGATGATTTTTTTTAAGTATTAAAAATTCTGTTAAACACTAGCTATAACATTACAATCACCTGAGAATTGGAGAAATATATTAAAAGTTTCAAACATATAATAGTCATGAAGCTTACTTTCTGTAATGTGAACTATGTTCTAACTATGGGTCACTGGAAATCCATTTCAACTTGTCCAAGTTGCATACTCCAATTCTTAGCAAAGTAGTGAAAAGGACATTTTAAATCAGTCACTCCATATAATATTGATTCCTGAAAAGAGTAACTTGTTAGCTAGCGAGTGCCCAGTCATTGTGTAATCTCTACCTTTCCAAGAGCTATTAGGAACTTCAGAGCTAGACTGCTGTTTATCATAAAAAGTGCTTAAAAGAGAGAAGAAGGGAGAAGAAAAAAAAAAAAAAAGAGTTGGTAATAGTTTCCCTGGGTACTGTAAGCTGCACTTGGTTTCTGGCAATTATTTAAGCTAAAAAGGGATACTTGAGAGGGTTCTGCTGCAAGTTTTCAAAAGTCAAAACATCCTTATCTACTGTATAAGTTTGTATAGGTATTGTTTTCCTTAAAAATTGCAGGAAGGAGCTGGGTAGAGGGAAGGTAGAGGAAGAGGAATGGCTTGCTGACCGGTCTTGGGCAAGTGGAAGCCTCCACCTGAACACTACTTGGATTCAGATGTTATCTTCACAAAGCAATGAATGAATGAATATGACTGAGTAGTCTCTGTAAGTTCTCAAGATCTGAAATAGCAATAGCTTACAGTAATAGTTGGATTGAGGAAGGAATGAGGTACAAGAAGCTCTGTGCCCTCCTGACTGTGAGGAAGGGCTGGAGAAACAGCATGATGATTGCCAACTTACGTAGATGACTTGGGCTGTCCGCAGTAATCTTCAAAAACTGTAACTAAAGGTGCCTTGGTTGCTTGAGGTTGTGTACAATACAAACAAATGTAGAAGCCAGAAACTTACGCTACTCTTAACATGGAAAAAAGAAATTAGAAGCTGAGAGGGTGTTGGTAGAATATGTTAAAATAACAAAGTACTTAATGTATGAAATGCACCTGTGTTAAGTTTACTTTATATGAATATGTGGGGAAAAAGTGCTTTTATCTTTACTCCTTCTTATCTTGAATGTATCAGCAGCCAGAAACTCAAAAGTTTTTTGTCAGTCTCCTGCCAGTACTGACAGACACAGCCTCTTCTATTTTAGAGGTCAAATCTGCTCAGCCAGAATTAGTAAACTCTGTCCTCTCTCGTTTTTCAGGATAGCGATCCCAGTGCAGCTCCCATTTAAGCTGTTGAATACAATAAGACAGAATTGTGTAACAAATCCATAGTTGCAGATGTTAGTTCTATTGAAACTTTAATAATTTAAGGGAGAACAACATCAGATGCAGGATTTTTGCAGTGTTTTTTTTTTCTGCATCTATTTACAGAACAATAATAAGCCATTACTGCAACTTGAGTTACATGGAAAAACTTCAGCTGTCTAATGAAGGAAAAATAAGCTGTAGTCTCCTCCATCCTTACTTGCCATTCACTTTGTAGCTTGTATTATCTCAGTATTACTTCATCATTTCTGAAAGACTTAAGAGTGTATAATGAAATCTGGATGTTAGAGTCAGAGACTGTTCGAGCCTATTAGATAGAAGGAATTCTCTAAAAAGGGGTAGGTCTGTCCTGAACAGTGTGGAAGCATTGATTTTAAGGGAGGGTGGTGGGTGTAGTGTAAAGCAGTTAAGTGATCCAAGCTAATTTGAATTGATTTTATAGACCAGATCCTAGGGACAATTGAAACGTTATTCAGTTGACTAAAAGCAACCATTACAACAGCATTACACAAGGCATAATAAGTACATGGTTAGAATAAGAAAAGCAACTATTCAAGAGTGATTTTATCTTAAAATATGTTGAAGTTTATAAGATTTATCTTGTTATTTAACTTGCTTACATTCGTGGTGAAAGCACTGAAATATTTGAAGATTTCTCTCAGTTTTATTGCTAAGAAGCTATCCCCAAAGGAGTGCAGCTGTGAATGGAATAGGGATCTTAACTGTTCGGGTTAAGTATACAGAAGATAATAAAACTTTAAAACGGTTTTGTGAACTTCAAAATTTATCATTTTTAGATGGTAATGTTGCAGATTTTAACTAGAAATTTTAAGTAATACTGAATTTTAATAGAAGTTGAGTTCACAGCTTTAGAGGCAGGTGCCCACTGTTAGGACTAATTACTTCCTAGGTAAAATAAAAATGTGGATTTTTTTTTCTGTTATCGATCAGCATTGAATAGAATATTTTTTTCAATATTGATGGATTTATAACAACTGAGAAGCACTGTATACTTTATATATATAGTAGGCAATTCTCCTGAGAGGAATTTCACTGAAGGAAGAGATTTTGAGCGGCTCAGTTAGTGCCTAGTTCTCATCTTTGTTTCTTTACTGATATCTCTGAAAATATGTATGTATTTTTTAATACAGGTCAGACAGTACAGTACAAAACCACTTTGCCTGGCTACCACATGATCTCCTGCCTCAGTCAGTCACCTGGTTCTGTGGCCACTTAGGTTGTTGCTGGTGGGCTTTGA